AATCCATTTTCTATTTTCAAGGAACTGAGTCTAATAATAGGCAATTACGATACAGCATTATGGAAAATGTGCATTGAGAGAAAAGATGCAGGGGAAGGCGGTATCCATAGTCTAGCAGGACCATGGTGTGATGACTGGGTTTCAACATCTAATTCTTTTCTTAGGTTGAAATTGGTTTATCAGATCTGGAAGTGACTGAACTCTGTAGTGCTGAGTCACACACTCAATTTGCTAAGAAACTGCTACGTAAAACCCATAATACTAATGTATTAACTTAAGAGAAATGATGGAGGGTCTAGGATAGTTGAGCTTGCTGATCCTCACCTTCTCTGTGTTGATCAAATTACAATGAAAACCAGATCCAAATTATAACGATTGTTTAGCACAATGGAATGGAAGCAATAGAAATGAGTGTGGTGCTTTTAACGGCTAATATTTCAGGCCTGATGCACCCCTTTCCACTTGAGTCACATACCTGCCTTATGTTCTTCATAGGTTGGATTGTGCTAAAAATACACTGTCATTTGCCTTTCTCTTTTTAAAGTTTCTTTGCTGACAAATATTTTTTGATGTGGAACATTCTTTAATGGTAATACCATCAATCAGGTATCATCTTTGGAAGATATTTTGCTTTTTATTTCGTTTTGCAGAACAATTATGCTTACTTTACAAATTTACTGCTTTTTAAAAATTGTTAAAATATGTTAACAAAATCACCATTTTCAAGTTCAGTGGCAATAAGTACATTCACATTGTTGTGCAACGAACAGTCACTACCATCCATCTCCAAAACTTTTTCATCTTCCCCAGCTGAAACTCTGTATCCATTAAACACTAATTTCCCATTTCCCTTTCATCCCAGCCCCTGGCAACCACCATTCTTTCTGTCCTTATGACTTTGACTACTCTAGGTACCTCATGTAAGTGGGCTCACACAGTACTTGTCCTTTTGTGACTGGCTTATTTCACTTAGCATTAATGTCAAGGTTCATCCAGTGTGGTAGCATGTCTCAGAATTTCCTTCCTTTTAAAGCTAAATAATATTCCACTGTGTACATACACCATATTTTGTTTATGCATTCATCTGACAGTGAACACTTCGGTTACCTCCACCTTCTGACTGTTATGAATAGTGCTGGTATAAACGTGGGTCATACAAGTATCTTTTCAAGTCCCTACTTTCACTTCTTTGGGATATATACACAGAAGTGGAACTGCTGGATCATATGGTAATTCTGTTTAATTTTTTGAGAATTTGCCATACTCAGATGACCTTATTTTTCAAGTGTGTGGGGTCTACGTTTTATGGCAGTAGAGGGAGAGGGTGAATTTCTTTGTTGCTTCCGTAAACTCCCTATGACCATTAAGCACCATGACAGAAGCATGTGTTTGATAATTCAAAGGAGGGACAGATGTTTCAAAGCAGGATCACTGTATCAGGTTTTCATGTAGTAGCTGGTATACTCGTATTTTCCTGGGCAATAGCCAATAAATCATCTGCTCTTCTGTTTCCATTTAAAAAATTACATAATGAAGAAGATAATGCATGCTTATCTTGCAAAATCTTCAAGTTTTTCAAAAAAGTGTTGTCAAAACATTTATAACTATATAGTTGGAAAGTCAGAATATTTATATATTATAAAATTCCTCTCATATTTTAGAGTTCATTCTAGTGTTAATGATGTAGTTTCTTTACTTATATTCTTGAATTTGAGAAGAATGTATTTTTATCAATGTAATTATGCAGTTAAAGGACATAGTAATAAAATTGGCTTATCTGCTAACTTAAAATTATATAGAACTTTAGAGCTACAGGTTGAGCCACTTTCATAACCATTAGTTGTTTATTAAAGACTTGAATGAGTCAAGAAATAGAATAAATTACACTGCTATACTGAACATAAAATAAAATCCAAATATATTTTTAGTAAACTATTTTTTAATTATGAAATATTTTAGATTATGAAAAAGTGTCAAGAATAATATAATCAACTTTTGTGAACCCAACACCCAATTTAAGAGCTAAAGTATCACCCAATACAGTTGAGCTTTCTGGGTACTGTATACCCAAGATATTCAGTATTCTAAATTTGATGTTTATAATTCTTATACATTCACCTGTAGCTAAACAAAAGCTTTTAAACCCCATATAACAAACTATCTGCTGAATCATTTTTAACTGGAACTGAAATTAGGGAGTAAAATAAAAACCTGAGACATCTCACTTTTTGACATCAAGCAAAATAAAGGGTTTATCTTTGCTATTCTCTTACCTACCTTACTTCCCTGCCCAGTGCTACTCAAAAGTTCCTTTTATTTTACCTAGACTTGTCTTCCCAGTACTAAATTTGTTTACATTTCCAACATCAATATGTGATACCCATGTAACTGTTTTGGGAATTACACTTTTCTATCTGTCCTGTTAGAAAGATTATTAAACTGCATTGGTCTATACTGGGTTGCTGCATTTGTCTTTTGCAGGATTAGCATGAGGGTATTTTTGGAGTCATATTTACTAGTGATATATACTAAAATAGGAAACATACTATAAGAGAAATATATTGCATGAGGAGATTCACCTTCAGCTAGACAAGATGAATCAATAGGCTAAAATCTAACAACATGGGGATCTATAGAAAAAATAAGAAATCTTAGCGACTTTGGTTTAATAAATCCATTAAATAAGTACATGAAGGGAAAGCCACCATTGAACAGCGCTACATGTTGGGACTTGAGGTTTTAGTGACCATAAAGTGAATCAGTGATACGTGGCTCTCAAAATAGCTAAAATAATAGGCTGCATTAAAAATAAAAAGTATCCAGAACAAGGGAAGTGGTACTGTTGTAGTGACATCACATCTATCACCTCTTGTAATTAGCTTAGGGCTATATAATAATAAATTGCAACTTACAGCAGAATTACCAGGATCATGGGAGAAATTTGAAACCATATCATATGGAAAATGGTGAAAGCTCTGGTAATAGTGCTGTTGATAACAGTTTAAAAGTTAACTAATTGAGGAGTTATACAGAATAAGGATTAAATTTTGGCTCATTGTAAAACATGTTATAAATTCCATAACAAAAATGCAGCCTCGTAAGTTGTAAGTCTTCCTTTCTTAGTGCTAACACAGAACTGAATAGAGGTGTCAATGAAACTGAATAGAGGGTCGATGAAAATTCAAGGTAAAGGATGGGGCTGAATTATAGCATCTAAGATCTTTTTCCAACTCTTAGCATCATATAGTTTTGTAAGGCTAATTCATACAGATATTAGTTAAGGAGATAGCTATGCCCCTTCAGGATCTTTCTAGTTTAATTGACAATAGTGACATAAACCTAAAAAATACCATTCTATGTTTAAAAAAAAAAAAAAGGATGGGGCAAGTCAAAAGAACACAGGAGTGGGCTTCCGTGGTGGTGCAGTGGTTGAGAGTCCACCTGCCGATGCAGGGGACACGGG